CCTCTCCCCACCCCCAAACCCCCCTTCTGCCCTCCACCAGATGGACTACCGCACGATGGGGGATATCTTCAAGGGCCTCGCCGCGAGCGGCTCCTGGGGCTGCTTCGATGAATTCAACCGCCTCGTGCCAGAGGTGGGGACACAGCACTCGGTGCTCTAATCCAATCAACAGCGGACGGTCTGCCTGCGGCTGTCCAGAGCCAAAAGCGCGGCTTCTCTCAAGGGCCTCAGCCCGGGATCGTGCACAGACACTGATTCTTTGAACTCCATTGTGCCAATCGCCCAGGTGCTGAGCGTCTGCAGTGTGCAGTACAAGTGTGTCACCGATGCCCAGAAGAGGAAGAGCCTCTTGCCCGGACGGTGAGTCCCTTCTTGAATGCGTTTTGAGTCTTGAGCTTTGTCAAAGCTGTATACCTGCAAAGCCCTCACGGCTGCCTTGAGCCGCGCCGACTGCTAGCTAAATCCGGTGCGTGCGCTTTAAAGCGGGCACCCACACAGCCCACATTCAAACCCCCCCTTTTAATCGATCGCCCCCAGGGGCCTCGAGTTTGTGGACAAGTCGGGCGTCAACCACCCGCCGGTGGCGGGCTGGACGTTTGTGGCGGCGGACGGCGTGGAGATGCCGCTGGAGGAGGGCACCAGCGCCTTCATCACCATGAACCCCGGCTACATTGGTAGGGCGGCTGGGCCCAAGGTCTGGGGCAGTCAAACAAAGCAAATCTGAAGGCCTGTGGAGTCTGCGGACCGGCTGGCTGTGAGCACTGTGTTTCATGTCTGGGAAAGAACTGGGAGAGAAGGTAGCGGTGCCTGCTGCATTGTGCGCGACACCGCTCCGACACCTGGGCGTGGTCTGATTGTCACCGTCACAGGGCGTGCGGAGCTTCCTGAGAGCCTCAAGGCCCTGTTCCGGCCCATCACGGTGGTGGTGCCCGACAGGCAGCTCATCATGGAGAACATGCTCATGGCGGAGGTGGGCTGCTGCTCGCAGTAATCAGCAGGGCACCCGCAGCAGGGCCGGCACGGCGTGGTCCTTAGGAAACTTGACAAGTTTTGCAAGAGGGCTGAGGGCGTTGTCACAGATTTGTGTTGGTCCTCTCATTCCTTCCCTCGTGCACCTGCTCCAGGGCTCTATGCTGTTTCCCCCGTTTATTGTCACAATGAAACGGCCCAAACCCCCAGGGCTTCGTCGAGGCCAAGATGCTGGCCAAGAAGTTTGCCAGCCTGTACTTCCTGCTGGAGGACCTCCTCAGCCCCGCAAAGCACTACGACTGGTGCGGGGGAGGAGCGCGATGGGGGCACACCGCATGGCAAGCGTGCCGACACTGCCTCCTGGGTGATGAACAATATTTTAGTTGGTGACCTGCACGCTGTTTATTGCAGCAAGCACAGGTGGGTCTCACCAACCGAGCTGCTCCGTAACCGGACACCAGGGGCCTGCGCGCCATCAAGTCGGTGCTGGTGGTGGCTGGTAGCCTGCTGCGCGCGGAGGAGGGCCAGGTGGAGGCGCAGGTGCTGTTCCGCGCCCTCAGGGATTTCAACATCCCCAAGATCCTTGTTCAGGTGCGGTGTACATGTAGCGCTTGGGGGCATGATTTGCGTGCACGAGTGTGCATTCAAGCTGTCTAGGTTCAACGCGCGCGATGCTGCTGCGGTATGCTGCTGCCGCTGCTGCTGCTGCTGCTGCCGCCGCCGCTGCTGCTGCTCCTGCCGCTGCTGCTGCTGCCGCCGCTGCTGCTGCTGCTGCTGCTGCCGCCGCCGCCGCTGCTGCTGCTGCTGCTGCCGCCGCCGCTGCCGCTGCGGCTGCTGCTGCTGCTTGGTGGGCGCCCCCCAACTGCTTCAACCCTGCGCGTTTGCCGGGCCCGCAGGACATGGTGATCTTCATGGGGCTGCTCAACGACTTGTTCCCAGGGGTTGACCCGCCGCGCAAGAGGGACCTGGCCTTTGAAGAGGTCAGCAACAAGGGTGGCGGGGGAGGGGGGGGGGCATTTAACATTCCAACTTCAGCAGAGTCTTTGATGCCGCACGGCATGGCACGCGGCTGCGCGGTTTCGTTAAGCTTGCCAAGGCGTTTGCATCAGTGTTGCCCGTCTCACAGCCAGGCATCCGTAGTTGCCCCTTCCAGACTGCCAGTCATCAATTCCGTGTCGCTGCCTGCCGTCATTTTAGGTCATCCGCGCCACGGCGGTGGAGATGAAGCTCGCGCCAGAGGACGACTTTGTGCTGCGCGTGGTGCAGCTGAGCGAGCTGCTGGCCATCCGCCACTGCGTCTTCCTCATGGGCCCCACCGGCTGCGGGCGCACGGAGTGCTACAGGGTGCGACGGGGGGGGGGAGGGCGGTTCTGGGCCATTCTCATACCGCAGTCGCCAGGGATGTACATCAGCAACAACATTGCACATGCCACAGGCACGCGCCCGCTTCCTGCCGCCCCCTGCATGGTGCAAAAACCCAGCAGGCATGCCCTTGCTGACGTGAGCATGTGCCTACACAATGCCGGGCTGCATCCTTGCCGTTGACAGGTGCTGGCTAAGGCCATTGCCAAGGGCACGGCGGAGCCGATCAATGACTACTTGAAGATGACCAACAAGAAGAAGGTCCTGATTCGCGACATTAACCCCAAGAGCGTGTCCACGCAGGAGCTCTATGGCTTCGTCAACATGGCCACACGCGAGTGGAAGGTGGGCGGGCGCGCCGCGGATTGAGGCAGAGCCGCAGCAACAAGCGCCCAGGTTGACACTCAAAAGTGGACCCCAAATTTGGCATCTTATGAGGCCTTTATGTTGGGGTTGTCACCTGGCCATATGTGCCCCCCAAAATTGCAGGACGGCCAACTGTCCTACAACATGCGCGAGCTGGCCAACATGCCCGACACCAACCCCAAGTGGATCCTGCTGGTGGGTTTCACTGGCAGGCTGGTGACATGATTGACTAGTAGAACCTCTGGCCCGCACCAGTTGCCCCCAGCAATCCTCCCATCCACAGTCACAAGCTGGCAGCTCCTCAACGCGCATGTCTGTACTGAATTTAATTTAATTAAAGCCACAAGGCACTGGTAGAATCTGCACGCGCCTTCACAACCTCCGACAAATGCTGCCACTCATCAGGACGGCGACCTGGACGCCAACTGGGTGGAGAGCATGAACAGCGTCATGGACGACAGCCGGCTGCTCACACTGCCCAGCAACGAGCGCATCCGACTGCTGCCTCACATGAAGGTGCTGGCGGGGGGGGGGTGTTGGGGTGGAGTGTGGTGTAAAGCCAAGCTTGTGCTTGGGCCCTGCTTAACTCAGCCCTGCTGGAGGCACTGCATCGCTCGTGTCTGTGCAACACTGTCTTCTTTCTTATTGCTGACCCGCCTGCTGCATTTGTCCGAGCATGCAGCCACACGCTGATTCGCGCGCCCTTGCATGAACACACCCCCTTCACAGCAGCTGACCAATGCTCAACCCCAACCCACAACTTCCCCCGCAGATGATCTTTGAGATCCGCGACCTCAAGTTTGCCACGCCCGCCACCGCCACGCGCGCCGGCATCCTGTACATCTCTGAGGGCCGCCAGTGGTCCAACATGGTGACCTCCTGGCTGGACCGAGTGGCAAAGCCATACGCAGAGAAGGCCAAGTGGAAGGCGAGTCATGCTGGCGATTCTGGCGCTGTGAGGCGCGGCGTTCGGGGTGACGGGACCTGTGAGCTGCGTAGACCAGGGTTTGATGGGAGGGCGAAGGGGAGTGTGCCAGCTGGCATGTTGTGCTCATCTGCCCTGCAACATGTGTTGTGATATTGGCTATATTTCTCTCCACCCTTGAACCCCAGGACCCGTCTGTCCCTGCCAAGTGGCTGGGGGAATTGTTTGACAAGTACGTGCCAGAGTGCATCTTGGAGATGAGGCGCAGCTACAGCCACATCACACCGCTGGGTGCGTTGTAGTTTTGGGGCGGACTTGATGTGGAACCTAGAAATTCTAGTATTGGGCGCGTCAAATGTTCAGGATTCCACATCGGTTGTTGCTACTGGTTGCATTATGTTGAATTTCATGGCTTCTGACACGCTTGCTGGCATGCTCGGCACCTCCCAGGCACGATGAACCTGGTGACGACGCTGGTGAACACTCTGGAGGGGCTGCTCAAGCCAGAGAACCTCAGCAACAAGGCTGACCAGGTATGTGGAAGGGGGAGGGGTGGCAGGTGGGGCGCGAGTGGTGCTCAGCCACCAACTCTGTGTCGGTTGTTGAGAACGCTCACGTTGGCCATTTGCATGCGAGCAACATCAGCAGCTGGGAAGCTTCTCCAACAACAACAATTGCCTGAACATCGTTTTTGAACGCTCTCCCAACACAGGCGCTGTTTGAAATGTACTTTGCATTTGCGGCAATCTGGGCCTTTGGTGGTGCGCTGGTCGAGAAGGACGGCATCGACTACCGCCGCAAGTTTGACAAGTGGTGGAAGGCCACCTGGACGTCCGTCAAGATGCCGGGTGCGCATCTAGGGGGCTGGTTTGGGGACAAGTGGCCAACAAAATTATGAGGCTACTCGTGTGCTTTGGCTGCATTGATGCATGCAAAAGTACAAGCTCAAGATACCATGCAAGAAATAGTCAGCACACACACACACACACACACACACACACACACACACACGAGCGCGCACATGCACGCGCGCACACACACACACACACACACACACACACGTGCGCGCGCGCGCGCTTGGGCGAACGCACTTTTAAACACACACAGGCAAGGGCAGCGTGTATGACTACTACGTCAACCCCAAGACAGCAAAGTTCACGCCCTGGGCAGAGCTAGTGGCTGACGTGCCCTATAATAGCGCCACCACACAGATGGGGTCTGTGTTCGTGCCGACCTCGGAGACCTCGAGCCTGCGCTTCTTCCTCGACATCATGGTAAGGGTTGGGATATTGCTTGCCTAAGCCTGCCTGCACTCACACGCGTTTGCTCGGGTAGACCCCCGGTGTCAAGACCCCGCAGGGCGGGACCACTGCAGGCTGGCCTCGCCAAAAATTGCACATGCACACCTGACTCTGGAGATCTGCTCTCGTCCAACCGTCGAACCACCTAGCATCAGCTGCACGCTGCAAAAACGCCCCCCGGCAGGTGGACCTGGGCAAGCCCATCATGTTTGTGGGCGGCGCCGGCGTGGGCAAGACGCAGCTGGTCAAGGGCAAGCTCGCCACGCTGCCCGAGGAGGTGCTGTCGCTGGCCATCAGCTTCAACTACTTCACCGACGTGGCGTCCTTCCAGAAGGTGCGGCGCAGGGGCTGCGGTGTGGACAAAAGGGCCGGGAGCGGCATTAACCTGTGCTAAGGGCAAGGCATCAAGTTGACAGAGGTTCAGTGGCACAGGAGCCTCGAAAGCGGCAAGCAAGGAACTCTGAGCAGTTTTACGCCTGGGAACACCAGCCCATCCCAGGAGCATACACCACGGCGCAGCGTCTGCCAGGCTTTCGCAGCCAACAGGCCCACCCCCCCCCCTCGACCTTTCCTGTGTCCCTCTGGCGGCTGATCATCACGCAAGGTCCTGGAGGGCCCCCTGGAGAAGAAGGCGGGCATCAACTACGGCCCACCTGGCACCAAGCAGCTCATCTACTTTGTCGATGACCTCAACATGCCAAAGCTGGACCCCTATGAGACCGCCATGCCCATCTCCCTCATACGCCAGCACCTGGGCTGGGGCCACTGGTGAGCCCCGTGCCGATGTTGGGTCCAGCCAGAAGCACCAGTTCAAGAGGGTGGAAGGGTCAGCTGGGACGCAGACGTGTATGTGACCATGCAAAGTCGTTGTCTCTGATCCCAAACTTCTAAGAACCTATACAATCGGCTGAATAATAGCTGCCCTTAATCAACTCTCCCACCACTGCCACGCCCTGCTGCCAGGTTTGACCGGGCCAAGCTCACCCAGAAGAACATCCACAACACACAATATGTCGCAGCCATGAACCCCACTGCAGGTGAGCCGCGCAGTATCCTTCTTCCCTGTGCAGTGCTCCCGCAAAATGTCCCGGTGTGGTGACACCCATGAGGGCCACTTATACTGGCT